AGTACCATTTTTGCAAATAGACACCCCTAAGTGACATTCTTCCAAATGTACACACCAAAAGTGGCATTTTTACAATTGCCCCAATTATAAATTTATTTTTGAAAGTTACATTTTTGAAAGAATAATATTGAAATATGTGTATTAAATTTAAAACAATACATACAATGATAGTATGTTTAATCCTTTTATATATTTAAATTTTATTTTATAAATTTTATAGTCAATGTAAGGTCTTGTATTTTGTAAACATTTATTTTATGTTAATTAGATGTGAAAACGTAATTAAATATATTTTTTAATATGAAAATGCAATATAAATTTTTTTTTATAGATATGTTTTTATTTTAATTAAATGTTAATGTTGATTCAAATATGTTTATTTAGTTTGATTTTGAATTTTGAATAGAATTGAAAAATAATTTTATAGAACTTTGTGAATAAGTTAAGTGATGTCATAATAAATTTGTCATGTCATAGCGAGAGACTAATTGTGGAGATGACATCTAAGTATTTTTTCGCAAATCACTTTCCAAATAATGTATAAGAGATATCATATCCAGCTTTTTTTTCATCTGAATTATATTAGATTGAATAAGTGTTCATTACACCAATGCTTCACACAAGGCAAAGCCAATACTTATGTGCACCAAAATTTCCTACTCTTAACTGTGATACAATTGGAGATTACAAAAATTACCACAAAAGACTTTCAGTTACCAATTTTCAGATCAAGTCGTAGGAAAGAGGGAGAGATACTCTCACTGTCAAAGAGACTTTTCAACCACCAAGGATACCTGATTGCTACATCAGAGTAGGTTCTACAATTCAGAGTCACACTTTGGATGAGATTTGCCCTTCTATTTGCTTTTTTCATCTTTTTCACAAGTTTCCACTCACCAAGATTAGAGGTTGAAAACTTTATTTCATTGATATGATAGCTGAAGGAGGGTCAAGCTTGACGTCGCTCCAAAGCCTCCACCAAATCTCCTGCTTCTATATCAACTATCCCCTTTGAAACCCTATGGATGACCATACTATCTAGGGCCTATAGGAGAATCTGTAACTTTGCACCATACAGGGAGGTTACTACTACTATCTCTCAATACCCATGCTCCACCTGCAATACAATTTCTCTTAGACCAAGAGACATGTTACCTCTTAAGAACGTTTAATATCATATCCAGCTAGACACGTTTTAATATTATGAAGTTAAAAACAAAAAAACTAAGGATTATTTCATATAACCGAAATTCCCCAGATCTAAATACCCAACTTGAAGACATAACGTAGAAAATTCACATAAGCACAAGTAAGAAAAAGATATAATCGTAGAAAACTTCCGAAATCTTTGTGACCACAAAATCCTCCATACAACAAAACAGTTTATAGCCACAAAATTAATTGTAGTTATAATTATAATTTTGTGGCTATATTGTACTTAGCCACGAAAAGCCACAATTCATATTTGTAGTTATAGGCTTGTAGCTATTTTCAGTTTGTGTCTATTTGTGGATCTATTTCCACGACATTGCCACAACAAAATTTGTGGCTAATATCCATGAAATAGCCATGATTATATTTGTATCTACAATAGCGACGATTTGGCATAGAGAAAGCCGTAGCTATTATCCACAACTATCCACAATGATTGTTGTGGCTAAAAATACACAAATTGCCGGAACTAAACTTGTGTCTATAATATCTACAAGATAGCTACACTACAATAAATTGTTTTTTTACATTCATATTTTGTAATATATAATAAATTAATATATACATATTTTGTTATTGATTGTTTTATTTATATTAAAATTCTGTAATATATGGAAAAAATGTTATAATTACAATTTTATTAATAAAAATTAAAAGTTAACTGAAGATGTTTTAATATAATTACATAAGAAAAATTACACCAAAATTCCTCTTATAAACGAAACCAATAAACTAAGACAGATAAATAAACAATTTGGCTCTCTGATTTTGCCTTCTCTAATCTTGTCCAGAGTTGTGACCGCCGAGTTAAATGTAACCGGAATCATCTTCTAGTAACAATCGTCCCTAAGAAGCTCAATAAGGATTCGGATAACCACAATATTCTTCTCAAAGACTCAAACTTCCCAGAAAATGTGTCTTGACAGAAGTGGTTTCCCTATACAAAGAGGAATTAGAGGCTTAGCAAATAATCAAACACAATAAACAATCATACAACCACTAAAATACAATAGTGCGATATATACAAGAATCGATTCGCAAAATCTGCTTAGCAAACGAAGATTTAGTCAGTAATAATTTTTCAAAAAAATACATGGGAGCCCAATCTCCATCACCTAGTCAACGTGACCAAGCAACTCATCTACAATCAAAGGATATGCCCAATTTTACAACTGAAACCGCTAAACGAATTCATCCTCTATACCATATCGAACAAGTCGGTAAGAGAGGCAAAGAGAAAAGGGAGAAATCAAAGACGAGGTGACGAATCAGAACTTGAACTCGAGGAGACGGCGAACAAACGCAAACCAGAGGTACGACGAACACCGGTGAGGGTTTTGAAAGCGAGGGAGAGGGTGTTTTGATTCTCGACGGTGAGGTCGTCATTGTCGATGGCTTGTTGAGGATGATACTTGTGCTACTGCCATTTCTCTTTGTTTTTAGATCGAGATGAAGACTGAAGTGAAAGGTTTCAGATCTAAAAAGGAGAGATGTAGAAAGAGACTCTTGTTTTCGAGACTGGTGGAGAGGAGGAAGAGAAAGAAAGGCATAATAAAAAAAAATCGTAGAGTGAAGATTTTGCCACTTCATCGATCTGCGTGATCTTTTATCATTGGCTCTCATTTTTTAGAGATTTTAACTCTCAAGAGTCACCAAAAGTCATCTTCTACATGATTTATGCGTTTTCTCATGTATTTTTTGAAATATTTTTTGTAATAATTTGTCTTTTCTCCTCTTAGTTCGTATTTTTGTAATAATTTTTCTTCTCTATTTTATCTTAGTATGAAAAGTAGTTATGTATTCTTTTTCTTAATTGAAAAATATAAAAAATACCTTTCAAGTA